TTTTATTTCAGGTTATGAAGAAGAAAGGGTTAGAAACCAGAGCTGATGCTTAACTACAGCGCCCGTGACCACAACTGCTCCGGTACAGTGAAACCCGGTTTACAGCAACTACCCAAGGGGCTGGCAATAATTGCTTTCCTAGAAGGGATACTCTAACTAAATAAAGGTCAAACAAAACAGCCCTGGAGAGCTTAGGGAAAATTCAAAGGAGCTGCTTAAGCCAGGAGCACTGCTTACTGGCTGCGTTCCACGGCGCAAGTTTTGCCACCCAACCTCCTCCGGACGCAGAGCAGGTACCTCTAAAGCCAAAAGCCACCGGAGCGAAAGGACAGGGAGCTGACACGCTGAAAACCATGGAGCTGCTGAGGTTGGCCTTTTGGGATCTTCATAACCCAGCTGCAATCACCCTGGGTTTTTACTAAACGCTGATCTGACCAGTGATCGAAGGAAAAAAAAAAAAAGACATTTTTAGGAGGTTTTAGAAGTGCTGCATCTGGAATGCAGCTGAGGAAGTAACGGAACAGTAATCTCCTACATGATACATTTTGACATCAAGATAACCGGGGAATAAATAACTACAGGTTGGAAGAACCTTGAAAACAATGCCACTTCTCACCCTACCGCAGGGAACGCAAAACCACGCTAAGATCAAAGCTCTGATTTTCCTGAAAACCTGAGTCCGCGCTCTGCGGAGCCGCAGAATCCAGCAACCCACTGCTCACCAAACTCTACATTTACGGCACCCTCATTTACCTTCTAAACTGCGAATTTTCTAATGCATTAAAAGGGAAATAATATAACTATAATCAAGGCTAGGTTTCTCATAACCTTTGCTTGGAAGTGGAATTTCGTTTGTTGAGGGACTCTTGCAGACAGCAGCGAAGAGAGCACTGTACTGTCTCAGGCAGGTTGTCTGGGAGGTTGCTGGAGATCTGGAGGCTGAGCAGGGAACAGTTAAGACTTTTTTATCAGCTAAAAAATATCATGGGAGGCATCCTGAGACCGTGAGCAGCAGGAAAGGTTAAAAAGCACACTGATTTTACCTGCGATCTTTAGGCTTCAGAGTCAACCCACCAAGTGAAACCGGGTGGTCTGCATTTCTCCGATGCTTCATTTCTGGGGCTTGCAACTTTAACAGTACTATTCTGGGGCTCTGTTGGTTGTACTTCTAAATTATCAACCGGAGCAGATTCTGATTACAAAAACTTCTCTTTTTTTTTTTTAGAGGCACCTAGTGCTTTGGAGGCAGAATCCCATCGGTGAGTAGATCACCTAGCAAATTCTTCAGCTCCATGATCACAAAAAATAAGGCCACATCTAGGACACTTTCCAAGCCAGGCAATGGCTCCTGCTTCCCGTCAGACTCCATTCTCCTTCACGTTGGAATATTTCTGGGAAGACTGCAGACACGGCAAGCGACGCGCGTCCTTCCCAACAGGGATCCATCTGCACCGCTCGCTGCTTCCCACAGAACACTGCGGTGAGCTGGAGACAAACTAAGTTGAGCGCTCGAATATTAAAAGGCTCTCGGCTCTCCAAAAACAGCCGACTGCCTTTAGCCTGGCCGTGGCGCAGGATGAACTACGTTAACGACTAGCCAGGCCAGCCTCATCTCTGGACCAGAGCAGGAGTCTTACCATGGCAGGAGATGCTGCTGCCATTATTGCCGTTGCTTAAACGAGCGTGTCTTATTTGTAGCTGGATCAGTTTTCCCTGTAAGTTACCACAGGTTAAAAAATAAAGGTCCTGGCAGGCACGTATCCTGTTCACACAATGCTCCTCACTAATTGTGCCATTAAAAAAATAATCCCAGAACCAATGCCATTAAAAGCCCAATAATACAATTTAAAAAAAAAAAAATCAGGCAAAGTTTACTGTGATAGGGGAGCAAGAACCATGTCTGACTTTTTTTTTTTGTTATATTATTCTGCTTCTCAGCCACTTTATTCATTCTGCAGAATTTCCGCAAGTAAACGTAGAGCCTGGGAAAAGAACAAACAGACTTTTTAAACTGCCAGAGTGACCTGTTCTGTCTCACCTATTTCACTAATAGGTTAAAAACAGCTCCAAAAATCTCACTACCACAGAACATCTAAGAACTCCCATGACAACTTTTATTCCCTAGTGCACTGCCTTACGCAGTTTGAGAAGAGTCCAGGATACCTAGGTAAAACAGAAGCAACCTCTTAACTAGTTCAGTCATCAACAAATCCTGCAAATTAAGCATGATTATGGACAAACAGAACATGAACTTTTGGATTCCTGCT